ACCCTGAAATTCCAGGATATCAGGATCTGTCTCACCCCTACTTAAAATCATATCTTAATTTTTTAACAGCATTTGTTTTAGTTTTTGTTTATCTTAGACTTTTTTCTACCAAAACTTCTCTTTTGTGACTTTTGGAAAAAAAAATCACAATTACCTATGTAAAAATAAAAGTCTTAAACATTTTTTGTATATTTTATTGTTGGATTTAACAAATAAAATAATTATTTTTTAAACCATTAAAAATTCACAATAACTCATTTAATATTTAAATTAGTCATTAAATTTTTGGAATTAATTGTCAAGTTATTAATACAAAATTTTTATTTTTCGTTTCAATAGATAATTCAAATGTCAAATATCAAAAGAACGGATGCCATAGGCGGCCTCTCATTGCTTTGGTTTTGAAAAACCTTAAAATATTATATACGATTTTTTTTTTGTTTTACATCTATCTCTTTTTTTCTAACATCTACATTTTATTTATCTAAAAATCAAAGGTTTCATGATACATACATAACATAAGATAATAGAATTACAACAAATTATATGATTAAACTTTTGAAAAACAACGGAAGTGAATTTTAGCGATGCTTCATTCCAAAAAGTCTTAATCGCTAATAGAGTATTAACTATGTTATTTCTCTTCCACATATTCGTCTCCAATCTAAAGCGATCTTCATCTTTGGTTATCACCCATTTATTGACAATACCAAATACAAATTCTCCTTGTTGTATTACATTGGCCAGCTTCCGAGCGAGATCTATAAATATTCTTCGATTAAGAACCCAATATATTGATTCTTTCGAAAGAAATAAAAATCCGGACTCCCAATTTTCAGCGATTATACGAATATCGCCATACAACAAAGAAGATGCATCTTCAACCCCGAATCCTTGTCTCTTCCATGGTGGTTTCCATGGAGTTTCCTTCCATAGCAAAGCGGTTATGATTAGAACACAACCGTCATTACTCACCGTATGTGCTCGGTATTGAGAATATCGGTCATCGTAGAGAGTCGCAAAACCCTTCACGGAGATAGCATGCTCGACTTGTGTGAAGGCGGAGTACCAACCCCCTCCGACGAACCGTAAATGAATCGTCTCCACCATGGGAGAATGTTGCCATAGACAAAAACTTTTCAAATCACCATGAAAATCATCTATTATCAAGGGGTGTGATTGATTTGCCGCCAACATCGCTTGAATCAAGATCAGGCCGGATGAACGCAGAACATCTGCAACCAACCATAACCGTCTCTACAAGCCAAGTCGTAACCACCACCATGAGATACCACCGTAGAAAAAGCAAATTGATTGCCGAGACAAGTGCCATAATTATGTTCAGAAAAACAACGACATAATCTGCATAGAAACACACTCAACATCAACAAGAGAACCGTCGCAAGCGATGCGAAAGGGCAAATCGCCATTACAATCGCCTGTCTATTTTTTAACATCTATCTTTATTTATATAAAATCTGAAGTTACATAATACATACTGAAAATAAAAAAAATTACAACCAATTATATAATTAAACTTTAGAAAAACAAAGTGTATAATTTTTAACGATGCTTTTCTCCAAAAAGTCTTACTCGCTAACATATTCGCCATGGATCTAATGCAATCTTCATCTTTGGTTATCACCGATTCGATGAAAATACCAAACATTAATTCTTCTTGTTGTATTACATTGGCCAATTTCCGAGTTAGATCAACAAATATTCTTCGATTAAGAACCAAATATACTGATTCTTTCGAAAGAAATAAAACTTCGGAATATCAATTTTCAACGATTATACGAATATCGCCATACAACAAAGAAGATACCTCTACAACCTCGAAACATTGTCTCTTCCATGGTGGTTTCCATGGAATTTCTTTCCATAGTAAGGCGGTTATGGTTAGAACACAACCAACATTACTCACCGTATCCACTCGGGATTGGGGATATCGGGCATCATGGAGAGTTAGAGAACCCTTCACGGAGATAACATGCTCGATTTGAATGAATCCATAAAAACGATCCACTCCAACGAGACATTGAGAAAAACGTCTCCTCCATCGGAAGAAGTTGAGGGGAGAAAGAGTATTTCAAATCAATGAAATCGTCTCTTACCGAAAGCATGTGCAATGGAGTCGCTGCCAATTGGATCACATTCAGGCCTGACCAATTCAGAATATGATGAATTATCGGCATTGATGCGCACGCTATCACAGCCATCACCATAAGGAAGAGGAACAAAACGACACAAAGAAAACACCACCGTCTACATGCCAAACTCATCGCCGAATCAATCAGCATAACCATCTCTGACTCATCGAAACACCACAGCAGACTACCTATCGTGACGCTCAGAGCCGGAGAGGAACCGTCGCAACCGAAAAGACAATCGTCTTTTCAATCGCACAAACCGTCATTTCTTTTTAATTCGCTATTATCGTTGGTTATGTGGATAACTCATTTAATAATCCTCTCCAAAGTAAATGACTTCCATTCAATAACAATGGCTTCGATTCATCATCTCTATATTTTGAGTTTGTGCTGTAAGTAATGGCTTTATGTGTGCTTCATTTGTTCTCTTTAAGAAGAAGAAACTCCTCACTAAGTGAGGCTGTGACTTAAGCAAGTCTTGCGTCAACTACGAAGTCAGTCGTTTTGTCTAAAGTCTTGGTCGATGGAATGTGCCACTTGTCTCAAAAACTTCCAATAAAACCTGGCTATTAACGTTTAGAAATTGTATATATTTTTTTTTTTTTAATAATTGCTAACTACACGAACTACTATCGGCCACATAAAATAATAATACTATTGTAACGACATTTCTTCTATTATGCCGATCGTTTCTTGAAAAAATAGAAGCCTTTGCACAAGATATTAAAAGAGAGATATGTAAATGAGACAAGTAGTTTCCAATAAAAACACTCAGTCTTTATTGTTTTTTCCGCAGGGCACGACAGCTGATACACAACACAGCTGTTGTAACAGATAGATTACACAAACACTTCTATAGAACAGATCCTATAACCTATTATATCCAGAGTTACGCGACATCACACACGTGATTCGCTCCTGAACATGTTCCTAATCTACCTAATGTAACGCAACAACAGTTATGAAACCTATCTCTTTCACTCAACACAACAGATCAAATGGCTCTCACTGTTTCCGAGTTCTTCAAAAACCTTTTTCGGAAGAACTAGTCGGCATATGAACTATCCCCCCTCCTTTTATAGTAGTAGCAACCAGCAACTCCTATAATCTTAAAAACAGCTCTCCCTTAATCTGAAAGGGCAACAAAACTGTTCACGTTGATGTCAGACCACCAGTCCCATCAACCTTTGATCAACAGTAAGTAAATCCACTTGCACCTTGACTTTGTGCACTTGTGTCAGCTCCTTGTTTCCCGAACCCGACTTCTCGCGTACGCTTCCTGGTAGTGCGGTTTCCAACTCGAGGTGCCACCTGGCGTGCCTAGTCACAAGAAGACTTTTCTTCTTAGTTTGCTGATTATTCCTTCCAGCTTTTGTGCAGCACACGAACTCTTCACTACTTCACTGATCATGTTACTTCAGCAGATTCATTTGCACTAACATTTCTTTTGATGTGTGTTAATATGTTAATAACGACTTATGTCTTTGTATTAGTTATTAGGATTTTGTCTGCCTTTGTTGTATTAATCGGAGATTACTCACTAGGATACATCTCCCATGGTAACATCTTGAATCGGTTATCACCGAACACATGGGATGTATTGGGTTTCTTTGAGTCTGGTTGTTGGGACGACACCAGACTATGTAATCCCGTAGAACGGGAACAGTCCCATTTCTTAGGAGTATCGTCTTCCTCTTTTATGAGGTGTATTGTCTACCCTATTATGGGTTTGTTGTTTCCCCTCTGGGATGGTTGTATTCCATAGTGGGTTAGTTTCTGATTAATATAACATTTGGCAGACACAAAAAAATAATACTATTGTAACGATATTTCTTCTATCCATGTGTGAGAACTAATGTTTAACT